AATAAACATGAATGAAGATATTGGGACTGAGTCAGCGTTGGAGTTACCGGGCTGTGAAAGTTTCCAGTTCTGTGGACAGGAGGGATATGATTCAATCAAAATTGAATCTAAAATTTTTAAGTTTGCGGTCAAAAAGGGTGAAAATATTTATATTTGGATTTAAAAAAACCCAGCTGCACATAATTCATTTCAAAATAGAGCTTGCTCCTGAAATCATCCGCTTTATGTCGCGACTCGAAAATTCTACATCGCATTTTTCAAAGACTAAGCGATTTGGAGATATCACAGTCTCTTTGGAAACTAACAGATCAGGCAACTACGTGAAATTAGCAAAAAACCTTGGGACCTCCGCTCAAATTCCCGTTGGACCGAAAAAGTCGGGCTTGTTTAAATTCATCAATATGTTTTCTAATTTTGCAGGGCTACCGGAGACTATGCCGGACGAATCAATCTCTTTACAACACATGAGCACCTTTGATACCGAGGACAACACATCCATCTCTAAATTGATTTTTAACTATCAAATCCAGGCGGCGAGTATCGAGAATCAACAGGTTTCCTCTCCCTGTAAACAACCGCAATTGCCACTGATACAGGCTTACTCAGATGCCTCAGATAGTTTTGATCATTCTGATGATTCTTTCTTCAGAGACGACTTTCTTGGACATACAACTGAAAGCGATCGTCATCCTCCTATCTCCTACCCAGAAGAAATTAGAAACTCCAACTTCAACAGGACTATTTGCCGCAAAGCAAAATTTGTCACTTCGGAAAATTGTCTGCCAACAGACAATTTAAACACACAACTCAAGATTTATAGGAAAACGCAAAAGAACAAAAGGCGTCACAGCATGACGACTAGATCTCAATCCAGTGACTTTCTTTGGGACTAGTTTTTTCTGTTTTCCTTTTTTATTTTTTATTTTCTCTTTGTACTGCTCTCTTTTTATTCTCGCATTGTACTTTTTTCTCTTATCAATAAAATTCCTTTTTCTAAAAAAAACCATGTTAAAAAAAAGGTTACTGTTACTCAGATTTTGCAGGTTGCAAGTTAGACAGGAAGAGCACCTCTGGTCACTGCCAATTGCTAGGTGGGAGACTTGTCTCCTGGTTTGGCAAGAAGCAGAACTCAATCTCAACAAGCATAGCTGAAGCAGAATATATTGCAGCTGGGAGTTGCTGTACTCAGCTTCTCTGGATGAAACAACAACTTAAGGATTATGGAATTCATGCAAAGGAGATCAAGCTGCTCTGTGACAACACCAGTGCCATTGCAATCACCCAGAATCCAGTCCTTCATTCCAGAACCAAACACATTGAAATCAGACATCACTTCATCAGAGATCATGTGGAGAAGAAGCACATCTGTATGGAGGATGTACCAACAGAAGATCAACTTGCAGATATCCTCACTAAACCTCTCAGTGAGACAAAGTTCAACAAGCTAAGGGAAGAACTGGGAATGATGGATGATCTCCCCAGAGATACCTGACTTCGAGTTGGTTTGGACCTGAACCACTCCTTCTGGACCTGAGGACCATCTACTAGAATATCTCTGGACAGAGAACCTCCTTATCAACAGAAGACCTTCCTTACTTACTTACCCCAACAGAAGTTGTTGTGGACTTAGTAATTTTCCGAGCAACGGGCAGACCTAAGTACTTGAACAGGTCTTTTACGGTTCTACCCCTGATAGTTATTCCTTCAACGGAAATGTCTTTCCGCCCACATTTCATTAAATGATACCTCGAAACCGCCAATAATATCAAACGTCCTCTAACCCAAATCATTTTATACCCACTCTCGCCAACCTGAACCGCTACTGCTCATTATCTCTCTTACAATCAAACTCTCTCTCTCACTAAAAGCTTTCAAAAACTCTAAACCTCTACTATGGCGTTCATAAGCTTCAACTCCCTGACCAAAGAGCAGAAAGCAATATTCATCAAGAATGTCCTGATTGGGATGAAGTGCGAACTGGACGTGTTACCCAGATTTGCAGAAAATGAAATGCGAATGGGGAAGATTATTGAGAGTCTGCATGAATGTCAACTGAGCAAGGTCATCACCTTTGGCTACGTAGTCTGCCGCAACGTTGATGTAGTTGAGTTCTATCTCAACGCCTCCTACATTGATGAAGTCATCAAATCACATGTCCAGGGAGAGGACATTCTCATTGATGCTGACGCCATCAACAAACTTTTTGACATTCAATTCGATGAAGGCAACAACTCACTTTTTGACCTAGAAGAGGCTGATGTTACTGTTACCGAGTTCAAATTGAACTACTGCAAGAAGGGAGAAGATGTTGAAAAGCTGAATGTGAAGAAGTATCTGCTCAAGAAGGAATTTGAGCTGTTCATCAACATTTTCCACAAATGCTTGTGGTGCAAATACTCCTTGACAGATGACGTTACAACTGCTAATGTCGAGGCACTATATGCAATGCACCATGGAGTAAATGTTAACTGGGGACAAGTGATGGTGAAGTCCCTCATTGAGTTCATCAAGAAGAAGAATCCTGAAACTGGCCTATATTCTGGGAAGTTAGGTCATGGGTTGCTAATTTCTGAGCTACTTATTGCTCAAGGCGTTTCTCTGAGGAAAACCTCGCCTCTTGATCACACTAAGGTAATTTTCCTTACTGCCTCACCCAATAAAGAAGTTGCAATCAAGGATGAGCTGAAGCGTCGTCACCAAACTGATAGCAAGAGGCAACAAACCTTGGAGAAGGTCCAAGAACCTGTTAAAAAGAAGGTATCTAGAAAGGTTGTACCAGAATAGCCCAAGAAGGCCACTCAGAAGAGGAAGAGACCTTTTGGTGCTGTTGCAGCACCTCGCAACCAAAAGAAGAAGAAGGTTGTATGGTCTGAGGTTTCTATATCTGAGAAGATGACAGACAATCAAGGGGAACGGGAAGACTCTCTGTCAACAGAACCTTGCCAGAAGAAAGTCAAGAAAAATAATCAGGTAATCTCCAGCTCTAGCTCTAGCTCTAGCTCTCACAGAACCATAGATGCAGAAACTAGGGGGGAACTAGAGAACCCCTCTTCTGCTGACAAACCTGAACAGAACTTGGTGTTGTCCTCACCAGAACACCAAAACCCAGAACCAGGTTAGCTACACATCTGCTCTGGACAGTCAGTATGAGCGTGTGTTAGCTTGGAGAGAATGGAGAATGGGGCCTCTCTCAAAGATCATCCAGTTCTTTGATCATTATGAGCAAGAAGATGAGGAAGTCCTCAGATGGGCAGGAACAGAGGACGTCTCTCAATGCTTCGACATTGACTTCCTCTCATTTGTTCTACAGAGGAAGAAGGATAACTACAAAGGGAAGGTTGTTCTCACCACTTCTGAAGAGGAAGAACCTGTAAAGCCTTTGGAAGATAATGAAGTGGCTATATTTGATGTCTAGCTAATTAAGAAGAAGGCCAAAGAATCCTTGAATCCCTTCCTCCGTAGCCATCCTGGAGAAGGAGAACCGTCCACTACCAATGATCTAGGGCTGGCTATGCAAAAATTGGTCAAGGAATGGAGGGCTCCTCTGTTCGAAGAAACAGTTCTTGAGGTTATCTCTCACTCCCCATCTGTTCATACTACAACAGAACCCCTCATCCCTTCTCCGTCCAAATCACCTCATCCGTCAACTCCTGGTAGGGGTGTGCACTATCCGGTTTAAACCGGAAAACCGGACCGAACCTGTAACACCGTCCCCAAGTATATTTACTTTTATTAAATCATGTAATAAATCTTGAATATTGATTTATGAATTTACGTGGTTGTAAATTTTTGGATAATTCTTTTGCTTGAATAGTGAATTTATGATACACTTCGAAGGATTGGATTTACATGCATTTAATGAAGATGTCCTCTACACTCCAACGGGAAGGCATCTTTCAGTATATATGATACACTTCGAAGGATTGGAAGAATAACGATTCATTCTCTCACAAGTGAAACATTCAATCTCTTGAGACTTCATCTTCAACATCTCAACAAGAGAAAAAGCTTACGTTGGAAAGATCGAAAATTTCATATCTTCATCTTCCAACAAAAGAATCGTTCCTCCAGTTCTTCAACACTTCTAAAGCCTCATCTACACATCCTTTGTAACAAAGCTACATTGGAGAAACTGATTTTCACTCAAACACTTCTTGCAAAAGAAGGGACGTCTCAAACTAGCTGGAGTTGTGAAGTGGGGATACTTCAAGAAACTCAATGAAACGAGACCAGCCATCAGGAAGCAAGGACTGCATCCCGGGTGGCAACTAGACTTGAAGAAGACGAGGAGAGCTTCTTAAGTGCTAGGACTAAGACGTTGTAACTGTCATTTTACAAGCTTAGTGGAACAGTGGACTAGAGGAACACGTTGTTCCCTGAACCAATATAAAAATCCCTGGTGTCATTTACTTTACGCACTTTACCACTATAACTGCCAAGACCAGTTCTGTCATCAGAACTCGACCATCTCTGTTAAGTCTGTTAAGACTTAGAGAAAAGTTTGAAAACTTGAACAGTCTATTCACCCCCCCCCCCCCCCCCCTCTAGATTGTTCCTTGTTTAAACGGGACCAACACACACACACACACAAACTTTACCAAATTTGGTATGAGACAATCTTAGTGGGACTTCCTGAAAAGGAAGAAAAAGAGACAATCTTAGTGGGACGAAGGGAGTAACTTATTATATGTAAAGAAAAGGTAGAAAAGTATACTTCCAAGTTTGTTTTAACACAAACAAAATATATTTAATACTCCCTCCGTCCCATAAAGGTTTGCCATGTTTGACCGGCACGTAGAATAATAAAGTAAAAATTGTGTGGTAGAAATTTGTGCAAAGGAGAGAGAAATAACATGAGCCACAAATTGATTGATTAAAAAGGAAAGTGGCAAAGTTTTTGGGACAACCAAAAAAGGAAAGTTGGCAAAGTTATAAGGGACGGAGGGAGTAACTCGTAACTAAAAATTAGAAAAAAGTCTAACCTCACATATTATATACATTTGATGTCATTGCCTCGAAGTTCATTTAACTCTTCTTTTGAAATTATGCCTCATGAGAAAGGTAGTGATTTAGGATCCCCATTTCAATAATTATTCCAACATCACACCTCAATAAGTTTTAGGCGAACATGGGAGTGCACACTAATTAAAATGGCTTCTTGAAATCCAATGCAAAATTCAAACGAAGAAAATTATAGAATTATGTAGTGCAATTATTAACTCTAACTGATCTATAATATGCCTTTTCTGCATTGTCCATCCTGATATAAAACATTTGTGCCTCTCTTTGACCTCTTTCTCTCACCTGCAAAAAGAATAGTTTCATAAAAAATGTCATCTTTTTTCAATTATTCTATTAAAGGCGCACACACATATATTCGATCAAATAAAAAGAAATCTTAATGTGCATTAATAACTCGTGTGTGTATGAAAAGATATCATCCTTGCAATGTTAAGGGAGCTATTAACTCATATTTATTCGAGAGCTCCCTATTTGATGCATTAATAAAATTCATTACAAAAATATGTATGTATGTATGCATGCATGCATATATATAAATACATATATGCATATGCATACACTTATTCATAGAATGTTGCACATTGCACAATAAGTAAACATGTACTTAAAGAAGAAAAGAAAATAATATTACATCTTCAAAAATAAAGTTTATTTTGTAGTAAACTAGTTCCGCGATTAATAGTTCCATAGTATTTTTATCATTGCATGTTATTACATTGGTTCATCATCGTTTATCCTAATTCATTGGATTGTATACGATTTCATATTGATTGGTTATCCTATATCATAATTCCATTAATGTTCTAATATGATAGTAAGTAAATATAGTCATCGATACTTTCTCAGATGAATATAACTATCACTTTAAGGAATACAATTTATTTGAAATATTATTTTTAATCTCAAGAAGAATTATATGCTTTCTTCTGGTATACTTATGTCATTCTTTTAAATATCATGACCAGTACTATATACATTTTCATGATTTTTATAGGTGGGTGTCTTTATTTATGCACATATTTATGGAAAATGCATTCAATGTCTATGAATTGTGTTCTAACTTTTATATACATAACTCAAAGTTTCACCGTATTCTTACAAGGAAAAAGATATATTTAAGAAGTAACTCTCAAGAATTTCATAGAAAGGGCACGTAGTCTCAAATTGTTGTCTTGAAAATGTAATAGATGAAAGGCATCTATTGATAGGTAGAAAAACACCCTCTTCAATAATAGAGATCAATTCTCCATCAAGATAGGATCTAAATTGAAGAGTGGAGACATGCATCATCATAATTAGGTCACTACATGGTTGAGTGGAGGCTCACAAAAGAAAAATATATATATAAGGTTGTAAAAAAAACTACACTATGGTTTCATCGTTCTATAGTTAACATGTTCTAACTAGCTTTATTGAGGACTCTACTAGTAACAATATGTTAAAAATTCTTTGCAGAAGCCCCCTATATTAGGCATGTCAAAAAAAACCTGGCCCGCAATGACCCGCTCTTACCCAAGGCATTTGGGGCAGGTCCGTCCCGCCCGTCTTGCAAATGGGGCAGGTCCGCCTCGCCCCGCCCAGACAATGGGGCAGGTCCGGGTATTAGTATTGACTCGTGCCGCCCTGCCCCGACCCACTCAATATATAAGTATACATATTTTTTTTTAATTATATTACAATTATACTTCTACATACATATGTGTGAGTATAATAAATCATAAATTCTTTGGTCTTATAATATATTAATATTAATATTTGTATTTGAATGAGATGAACGACGAATTATCAATGTCTTTTTTATATGTAGCATTTTAATTTATATATTATATTTTTAATATAAATAGATTACATATTAAAGTCTTGGTACTTTTTTCTTAATTTTTGAAATTTTTAGTGCAGTGTGACTTTGATTCAATATATTACTTGTTTTAATAATTATATCTAGAGATAAAATTTATGTAGATTCAAGTGGTGACAACTTCACACAAATAGAAATGCATACTACCTAGTTAGGTTATGGTGGGGCGGGTCATGGGTCAACAAGTTTGGACCCGTGCGGGTCGCGAGGCTAGGCAGGTCAACCCAGTGAAGTCACGGGGCGGATCCGGGTCTTGCCATCCTGCCCCGCACCGACCCATTGCTATGCCTACCCTGTATATAAGCAATCAATACAACATTCAAAATCAATTGTCGCACCCGGAGTTGTTGAAGAATTTTCAAAATGTGAAAGGGAATTTCTGGGAATTACGTATGTATGCAAAATAATAAAAGAGTGATATTAAAATGCGAGAGATCTAAATAAATCAAACAAAAATAGTCAAATATATCAGTATATGCCACTTAAAAGAAGGAAAGATGTTCCCTGAAGTCAGATGAAACCCTGAAGTACAGTCTACTATTGATATCCATTCCGCTTATGGTTTAGGATACGTTGATACATGAGTGTTTTATACTTATATAAATTATTACTAAATAGTAGACATATTTTACTCGTGTTCCATAACATTATAATTCCATTAATTTGATCAGCATTACTTACATTATTTCGTTTGGATGTCACATTTTTCATCTTTTCCTATACAAAAGGATTATGAAAATTATAAGCTTATATCGTAATTTTTTTAAATACACTATAGTTTATAGATGTGTATATATGTTTGTGTTGTCCTTTTATTGCCAACAAAAACGTATGACTTTGAACTACCATTTTTTTCCCTCTTTCCAATCTTCTAGTTTGTTGGTGAGCACAAGGCATATAGTAACATAAAAAATAGTATTATGCGGTTGTGCCTATGTTAGATGATACTTCTATGGTAAAGTATGTGATCATTGGATTGGTCGTACACAATATTTAATATCATATGAATAGAAGTTGTTTGTATGAATGAGTCTGTTGTATAAATTGTTGAACAATAGTGTAAATAAAACTTATTTCGAGTGAAAATACTCGTAAATAGAAGTAACTAAGACAATGTGAGATCTTGTGTAACAAATATGTAGTAAATTATGGAGTATAATAAGTTAATGAGAGAATTCCCTAAATAGGAGCAAAACATAGGCAAAATGCAATAACAGGAGTATCATGTTTTGAATAGGAGTAACTTTAGTGTTTGGACAAGTATACCCCTACCCAAATCCCAACAACTTTTAATTAAATGTTTAATTCATAATAAATTTGAAAAAAATTCAAAAAATCGTAGAAAAATAATTAATTTTTTTTAAAATATTAATAAAATAAAAAATTTAAAAAAAAATAATTTTTTTATTTTTTTAAAAAATTAATAAAAAATAGTAAAACTCCATAAAAAAATTAAAAAAATATGGATGCCTTTCCCACAGCTTGTAATACCTCCCTGCACCACCACCTCCGGGCGGTGAAAAAAAATCCATTTTTCCTAAAAACTGCCTTTTTTCTGAAAATGCCGAAAACATGACATATTTCTCTTTGCGAATGCCAACATTTTCATTGTTTTCTGCCATAAATATGGCATTCGTAATGAATTTGGCATTTTTTCCCCTGGTGACTGGAGGTGGTGGTGCTGAGGCGGCAGAGGCGGCGGTGAATTTTATTTTATTTTTTTGAGTTTTTTAATTTTTTTTAATTTTGTTTTATATTTTTTTATTTTTTGAAAAATAAATAAATAAATAAATTATTATTATCGAATAAGTCATAAATTAACTAGGTTAGGATTAAATAAGTCATATTTTAGAATTAACTAGGTTAGGGATATTAAGGGTACAAAATTAATGTTTACTCCTATTGAAGGAAGTTTTAAGTTTTACTCCTATTTGTGCAATTATGTTTATATTTACTCCTATATTGGGCAATTTCTATAAGTTAATATGTATTTATTATTTTACTATATTTTATTATACATGATAATAATGAATACAATGAAAGTATTGAGAGAGTTATTTTGTATCCTATTACTACGGATTTAGAAAGTAAATACTCTAAATATTATATTAGTAAGACCATGAATGCAATATTTTTATAAATAGTAGTACTTCGTACGAACTGTAATCATGTCAATAACATATTAATTTAATTACAGACTACTTACATCGTTTCTTGTAGAATTCCCATTTCCCATGGCGCCCTATATATAAAGTAAATAACCATGATCAGTGTAAGCTCACTCTATATACATCATTTCAACACATATTAAATATTGTAGATAAAAAGAAGTATAGGTACAAATATACATACGACGGAGTATATGGGTCTAAGGCCCCAGGACTCACATACTCAGAAGAACAGAAAGCACAAGCCATTACACAATGCCCTCGTCGGCCACAGGCCCCTCGTCGGCCGAAGAGAGACCAACTCAGAATATGATCCTGAAGCCAGGGAACCAGGGTGTCCTCGTCGGCCGTGCCCTCGTCGGCCAGGCCCTCGTCGACCACGGAAGTCTCGCAGAACTAGATTTTACACATATTCATTCATAGAGCCCATCATTTACTTTGTATTCGGCCCAATAGCGGTCCAGTTGTAAATGAGCCTCCCAAGCCTAAGGCTTGGGAGCCCAGCCCGTATTTTTCCTATAAATACTTCCTCTGGAGGTAGTTATAGGGATTACAAAATGATTTTATTGAATCATTTACTTGCACTTCTCTCTCTAGCTCTCGGTTCTCTCTAGATATATACCCTATCAACATGTTTAACAATCACTGTGGAGTTATGTCCAAGTGATTTACATAAAGCGAAACTTTGTTTTATTACCGAAAGGGAAGGTATGCCTTGGTGAACAATTGGTTGAGCATCAACGACTCCCATCTTCTCAATATCTGGTGTCTAATATAAAACATAAATATTTTCTTATATCAGTTCAAATGAAAGCTAGCTAGAAATAAGAATTATGCATCACATCAATAAGAATTTTAGGGTATGTATGGAAATTTGAAGGATGTGGAGAGGAAAACTTCAAACAAGTGCATGTTTTAATTGTAAGGATAGTATCATAAGGAGCAGATATTATAATAACTAATGACATTGATGCCCTTTGAAACACCAACTATTAAATGAAGCAAACAATTCAAGTACCTTAAATATATTGCAATGCTTTTGTCCATAATACCACTTCAAATTAGAGCTAAATAATTTTGCATTATGGAATAGCTTAATGCACTTAAGGTTCTAGTTTATTTTATTCAATATCTAATCTACCAAAGTGCATCCATATTGATGATATAATTTATACATTTATCCTTTAAGCCTATACTGCATATGTAAGTAGATTATGTAGAAAACTAACCGTTACACATCTTCGAAAATTGGAGTCAAATCCCCAACCGTGCACTAAGTCATTCTGAATTCAAATTAGAAAAGTAGAGATTTTCATATCTTTTGTAACAACAAAAGAAGGGGGAAATTAGTTAAAGTAGATGAGATATATAAATAACATTACATTTGCATGTACCTGAATCATATACCACACACATTGCCATGCACTCCGAGAAAAGACAGGTGCCATTATCTCAATAAACCTGATATTAAACGAAGGAATTACTATATGAGATATAGAGGACTTATCTCGTCAGGCGCGTACTGCATGTTTTTCAGAATGTTCTTCATGAAACGTAGATGATGTCCACAAAATTTCAGCTTAAAACTCAATCTGAAAGTCAGTTAATTAAATTAGTTAGAAAGATTACGCTTTATACATACATACATACATATATATAAAGCGCAATATTTTTCAATACTTTATTTAACTGCCTTCGTGATTAAATTTTAAGATGAAACTTTGTGAAGATAATCTACACTTTCTGAACATCATTCTCACAAAATTTCATCAAAAAATGCGACCAAGATGTCCCTGAAACAGGCTTGACCGGACGGGATTCCGGTCAACCCGGACTGATGAGATAAGTTCTCATGAAAGTGAATGTAAAGTGACACAAAAAGCACAAGACCAATATCGTTCATACTTACGCCGCATCTATAGGTTGCCGAGTGTTTTGGAACTGATCACCTCTTCTCTCATTTATTTCTCTAATCATGAAAGTATGGAAATGAGAAATATAATGTTGGTAAATGAAAGATTACCTCCGTTCTTTAAAATGAAGTTTCTAGTAATAATAGCAAGAGTACTTTGATGTCAAATAAAGCGATGTTAATTTCACGACATATAAATTAGCTTTTAACAGTATGTATATTGTACATCTCTAGGTACACTTAATGATGAGTTTATTTTCATAATGAAAAATAGCCATTAGATTCATAATGAGCATCTTTTTATTCATATAAGTATTATATTTGATGGTCTTATGGGGGACCAGTACCGTGTTTTGATTCGGGGATTAACCGCCTGACCTGCTGGCACTACGATGTAGTGCAGCCCCTGGTGTCTACCGACTGCTTAGTAGTGGGCTCTGCATTGTCGTAATGAGCTGTGGAGACTATAGAGTAATGTGTTAAATAGAGTGTATCCACCTTCTTATTACCAATTGGTTTTAAAAAAGATATGACCGCTATTTAATCATAAAACTCTACGGTTAAGCAAGGCTGGGGCAGGAAAGCCCAGGGATGGGTGACCATTAGGAAGTTTGTAAAAGAGGTAAGTAGATCATACAAGTGATATCAGAGCGAGGTCACATGCTCAAATATCCGAGAGTAGTGTTGGGGTGATTGTTAGTCTTATGGGGAATCAGCACCAACCTTTGATTCAAGGACTAACTGCACGATCTGCAAACACCATTATGAGGTGAAGCCTCTCATGTCCATCCACTACTCAACAATGGTGCTATGAAATGTCACAATGAACTGTGGGAGTGCCGCACATGAATCTACCTTGAATTATGGAGTATAAATTAATGTGTTAAATAGGGGGTGTCCACTTCCTTATCATCAATTGGTTTTAAGAGGATATGACTGCTATTTAACTATAGAAATCTATAGTGAAGCGAACCTGAGACAAGAAAGTCCAAGGATGGCTACTGATTCCACAGGTATTAGTACTACAATCACTATTTTGAGAAGTTCTATGGAATATTTTCTAGAGGTGACAACAATGGTGGTGAAACTAGGTGACTTTTTCCTATGACCTTTTGGTGTTAAACATTAAAACAAATCCCGATGATTGTTGAGCGGCTGCTAAGGTAAGGGGTTGAACAGATGTAGGAGCAATTGTATTTACGCACTTATATGTGTGTGTGGTTTTAAAAAATCTCCTGATCAGATTCCTGAGTTCGAAACACAAATACATAACACATTGTAGCACTACTTATTTTTATTTTTGGAAACACATAAAAGTGGCTTCTCCAACTTAAGAAGGAAATGAGAGACATGTCTCACTTTTTCAATTTAGAAAATAGATAGGTAAACACGTTTTCCAATTTTCCTTCATCTAGTTTTTCAATTTTCTTGAAAACTTGAAAATACTTCTATTAGTAAATGGGTCCTTAATATTTGGTTTTGACTCCATTTTGAATCTAACTTTGTGCATTATTTTTTATCTATAATACTCTATTTTTATTCTCTACTTTATATTTTAGGGTTAGAGGGTATTGTTAACACTTTCTACTACTTTTGATTACTATGTGCCTGAAATATAAAGTTTTTTTTTGAACGGCCTGAAATATAAAGTTGAAAATTGAAAGTGTGTCTTCGAGAATAGTCAAGACATCCTATATTCATTGTGAAACTTATCTACCATAATATTTTCTACTTTAAAAATTTGTTTGTAAGGTGTTCATTGTGTAATGAATAGAATGACTTTTTGTGTTTGGGAGTATATAGGTATGTGCTTCAAGGATGTTGGTCAAGAGGTTTCAAGGATAAAGCAACTTAATAGAGCACTCAATGATGAAATTATTGACTACACATGTCTGTTTAGTTTTTTTCTTATTGTTTTCAGTTAATACATCAATGTGAAAAAAATCAAGTGAAAAAAAAATTATACGAATTTTCAGGAAAAAAATGATTTGTTTGTGTGATTCTTACTGTGTATGAAGCACTAGGTTTGTGAGAAATTAAGGTTTCATGAGTCTATGCAACAAATAAGTTCATAATATTGCTAAAATGAATACATATATACCACGATGCTGAAAAAACATGTAGTCAACAATTTATTACGATAGCTAGAAACTCACATTTCATGAATTAACATTGCTATACATAAATATTGATTGATAATTTGTGTACGTTCTAACATCTAATATATATATATATATAGTATATATTATATATAGAGAGAGAGAGTGGTGTTCCTGACCAGCCAGCCTGACGGGAACCATCGTCCGGCCGAGGCCATTTCGGGTCCTTCCCAGTGAAATTTTTTGATGAATTTTTTTTATCTGGGAAGACAGTCAAATAAATTATTAAAGAACATTGCGTAGTTAATATACATATAAACAGCGCAGTATTTTTCAAAAAATCATTTGACTTCCTTAACGATGAAATTTTTAGCTGAAATTTGGTAAGAGTAAACTAGACTTGATGAAGAACATGATCAAAAAAAATTATCAAACAATTCCACCGGGAAGGGTACCAAACAGGCTCGGCCGGATGGCGGTTTCCATCAGACCGGCTGGACATGAAAGATTGCCTATATATATACTATTCAATTAATAGAATAATAATATCCCATTCATCGCAAAAATACTATACTAGTTTGAGATAACTAGTCATACTTCATAGTCACATACTCTAAAAGGTTTATTTTTATAGTCTATCGTTATTAAAATTACTCAATGAAAGTTTACACCAGGGTGTACCTCATAATTTGAGAGGTTAGAGATGACAAGTTGTCTATATATAAATTAATTACTATCCCCTAACTGCCATATAATTTAAGGTTATTAATTGTTCGGTTTTACTATGTTATGATAATATACTTGTTCGTTTTGCTCTCTTTAATTTAATATATGTGTCAGGGTTTCTAAAGTGGTAGCATGTTTCATTGTTTCACATTGTATCAAGAGTACAAAAGTATTTTTTTCCGGCTCTATCCTAACCCTACACTTTCGCCGCTGCGGCTCTCTCCTAACCCTACACTTTCGTCACCGCGACTCTCTCCTAACTCTACACTTCTACCGCCATCATGCAGTCTGGTGCAACCTCCTTGTCTAGTCGACCGCGACCAGCACTTCATCGACTCCAACATCCATTTCATCTTCGTCTACTGACGCGGTGACTATGACTCTCTCAAGCCCGATGGCGGAAACATCTAGCGCCGCCTTCTCTCGTGCATCACAGCCAACACCTTCGCCCATGGTCTCACTGATTCTGACGTCTTCTCCTTTAATGTGAACGTCCAGTGGTGCCTATACCCTTTTTTATGCCCTGCCTCCTCGGTTTCCGTGGCATCCCACCAGTGTGCCCTCATCTCCAGTAGTTTTACCTCCTCGTTTGTTGCACGGGTCTCAACGTTTTGGCACCACTTTCATGAGATCTCCGGGTATCACTCGATACACGGATTCTCTTGTGTTCGGCTCCCCCATGGCTTCCATGGCGCAATCCGTCTCTCATATCACTAATGTTACACGTATTGTAACTATTAAGTTCAAGACTGTTGAAGATTACCTTACCTAGCGGACTCAATTTGAATCCTTCTTGATGTCACAAGGTCTTTTTGGCATTTTTTATGGTTCCATTCAGATACCTTTCATGTACATTGCTGATTTTAATAATCGTCAAATTGTTAATAATGAGTACTATCAATTGTTGAGGGTGGATCAAACAATTCGTCCCCGGTTATTTGCCACTCTTTCACGTGAGTCTTGGTTGATGTGCATGATGCATGTAAAATATTTTTGGTATTTGGGGACTCGATTTATGGGAGCTAGTTTAACCTGTTCTATGGAACTCAAGAGTATGTTATCACATATTAAAAAGAAAGAAACCCAATCTATGGAATATTATTTGAGAGATATCAAGAATTTGGCTGATGTCTTTGCTGTTATAAATTCTCATGTGTCTCACAATAATTTGCTTCAGTACACTGTCCTTGGATTGAGTCCCGAATATGAATCCTTCATTATCACTACCACTTTGTTTCCCGAACATTTTTCTTTTCATGTATTACAATCAAGGCTACTGTAGCAAGAGCAGTGTGTACTTTTTCTCTATCAGCAGGACCACGCCGGTGGTCATCAGGCATTTGGAGCCACTGCTACCATCGGCTGACAAGGAGGTCACGACAGAGGAGGCCGCGACGGAGGAAGCCACGACGTTTGTCGTTACCAGTGCTACGGTCAGCACCTGTCGGCACATTAGGCTCTAGGTTTCGGACAGGCCCCAAGGGGTGCAGTAGCACCTAGACTGAGCACTAGAGGTACTGCAAGTAAGTCAGTTTTGTCCACTTTAAATGTTGATCCCTTCTCTATTTGTGGTACTAACTCTGGCCATTTAGGCTTTTCATCAGCTGAGAGAATTCTTGGGTGTATTCCACCTCTAGTTGTTTGTCAAATACGTTCCTCTACACGTCATTCTGCCCTTCTTTTTCCTTCACGATTTACTCAGAATTCAGCACACCTTTGCTAACTCCCGGTGGTGAGTCTAATGATGAAGCTTTGTGGTATCATGATTATGGCGTTTCTACTCACATGACTCCTACTGAAGGTATTCTAGTCAATAAATCTCATTATGTTGGTCTCATGTCTATTAGTGTTGCTATTGGTACTCAACTTCCCATTGTTAATGTTGGTGATGTCCATTTAAACTCATCTAGCCGCCCACTTTTGTTAAAACTCTCTTTAATTTACTTTCTATTTAAAAAATGTGTGATGATAAAAATTGTGTTTCTATTTTTGATAAAAAATTATGTTTGTTTTATAGATGACTTTTCTCGTTTTACGTGGTTATACCTCATGCGCAAAAAAAAATGAAGTTTTTCATCATTTTAAAGTTTTTAAAGCTTTGGTTTAAAACCTCTTTAATTGCAAAATTAAAATTTTTCAAAGTGTTGGAGGGGGTGAATATATTAATTTTAATATGCAACAACTTTTTTATGAATGTTGTATTTATTTTTTAAAATCCTGCCAAGATACACCTCAACAAAATGGTGTTGCTGAGTGCAAACATCGTCGTCTTCTGGAGCTGATCATGACTATGCTTTTGTTGAATCCTCTATTCCTAGTCACTTCTGGATTGATGCTCTTTTCACCGTTGCTTATATTATTAACAGATTACTTGATCTCAATAGGAAAAACTTTTTCACAAAACTTAGAACTTTTTTTCTGTGTGTCGTTGGTTGCGCCTGCTATCCTAATATATTTGCTTCCTCTTTAAACAAATTGTCTCTCCATTCTATTCAGTTTGGTTTTCTTGGTTATGCATCTAATTATAAATGTTATCGTTGTCTTGAGCCTAAATCTGGTAGAGTCTTTATTAGTCATCATGTTCGTTTTCACGAAAGTATTTTTCCCCTTCCATTCTTGTGTTTCCCACTCGTGTCTGATCCAACCACCAACTCCTCCTCTAAGTTTTTGCTTGCTACTGCCCTTGGATCACTTCGGTCCAGTAGGTCCTTTGATGCAATCTCCTTCAGCCCTTCTTCTTTTTACCCAACATTCCCCTATCCAGTCAGTCCCATTTTTTGTGTCTACACCTATGTCTACCCAATCTGAGTCACCTTCCCATTTGGCCCCTCACACCTCACCTGACTAACCTTCCATGAGCTCCAGCCCTGACCCACTCAACCCATCTACTAACTGTGGTCCGTCACCTGCGCCCGAACTGATTGCCCAGTCTGATCCCCCGTCTCAGACTGCATCTCATTTCGCCCCATCTAATGTCCATCCAATTCAAACTCGAGCTAAATCAGGAATTTTTAAATCTAAATTCATTTTTAATTTAAATATATTTATTATAGCCGCTAATCCCACTTGCTTGTTAAGTCTAATAAACAGTTAAAACGACGTCAACTTATGGGATGAACTTAATGCTCTTATTACTAATCGTGCTTGAAATTTACTACCATTTGATAATTATAAAAATGTTGCGTAGTTGGGTTTAAGTAAATTTATAAGACTAAATATCATTCTGATGGATCTATTGAGCGTCATAAAGCTCGTTTGGCAGCACAAGGTTTTAATCAGCAGGTTGGTGTTGATTTTCGGAGACTTTTTTGTCATGTTCCTAAACGCACCACAGTTCGTATTGCTCTTACTCTTGCTATTTCTTTTGGGTGGGTCATGCGTTAATTGGATGTTAAAAATGTTTTTTTTCATGGTCATCTTATTGAACAGGTCTATATGTGTCAACCCCGGAGTTTTGTTCATCCTCAGTTCCTAATCATTATCATCAATGTGGTTATGTAATTTATTTATTATTATATGTGGATGATATCATCAGTGACCATTCTTAATCTCTTGTTAGTTCCTTTATACGTCTCATTGCCTGCCCCACTTTGTCATGAAAGAGTTAGGTGATCCTCATTATATTTTAGGAGCCCAAGTTGTTTGTGCCTTTATAGGTCTGTTTCTTTCTTAGTAAAAATATGTTTCTGACCTTTTTATTCATTTTCATTTTCACACTCTCAATTATGTTCGGACTCATGTTAATTCACTAAGTATTCTTTCTCTCACAGATGGTGAGCTTCTTGCAGACGTCATTGAGTACCATAATATGGTAGGTGCATTAGAATACTTAACTTTGACACCAGCTGATATTACTTATACATTACATTTAATGTCTTATTTTATGCATGCTCCTCGTACTACTCATATGTTTGCTGTCAAGCAAATTTTCAGATATTTGTGTAGTACACATGATCATGGATTGTGGCTCTGGTCCTCCACACAGGTTACGTGTATTTTGGCCTATTTTGATGCATATTGGGATGGTTGTCCAAAGAACTCTCGTTCCACCATTGGTTTTGTTGTTCTATTGGCCCTTAATCTTGTGTCTTGGAAGTCCAAAAAAAGCCTACTACCTCAAGCCTTCTACTAAGGCAGGATGTCGTGCTATTGCTCAAGTACACGGTACAAGATATCTTGCACATCCGGTCTGTTCTGTTCGAGCTTGGCTTTCCCGTCATGAACCCGGTCCAGCTTTTTTGTGATAATATATCGGCTTCCTACTTGACTATTAACCATGTTCCGGTTGCTAGGGACAAACATATTCGGATTGACTATTACTTTGTTTATGAGCGAGTCACATATGGAGATTTGGTTGTGGAATATGATCTCACTCATCTTTAGTTGGCTAATATATTTACAAGGGTCTCTTTAGCCAACAATTTCATTTTTTAAAAGATAATATGCGTGTTATATCTCGCGCACGGCTAGAGGGGTGTAATAATATACTACCTCCCATCTCAAAATACTTCGCTATTTTCATAACTTTGACCAATTATATCATATTATTTGAAATTATTTATAATATAAAAATTATATGAAAATGTTCTTTGTAAAGAGCACTTTCATAAAAATATAAAATTTAAAACTTCCATAATACTATACTAATAAAAAATCATGATTCAAATTTTTTGAAATGACAAAGTTTTTTGGGACGGAGATAGTACATGTTTAGGGCTATTTGTGTAATTGACATTTATTCTCTTATTATAAAATAAAAATATATATGTCAGGACTTCAAAAGGGATAACATTTTTCCTTATTTCACACGTTTGACTATAAACAAACTTAATTTTTCAATAGTATTTAAATTTTTATTATTAATTGAAATTTGAAACATGATTTTGAATTTACTCGATAAAAATTATATTGAAGACCACGAAAGTATGTGGAGTTTAGTCAAAGAAGATATATTAATACATAGAATAATCATCGAAGTAGTGGTGCATAGAATAAAGACCTAATCGAGCGCGGCGATCCCATCAGGTCAGAAGAGTGTGGCGATCGAGCTGCTCTTCTTATTCCGACTCAGCAGCGATGAAGTGGATGAGATTTGGGGTGCGTATGGGTGACTTGTGGGCTTCGTCCGCATTGTTTCAGTGCAAAACAGGGCATCGGCAATTTAGGTGTGTTTCAGTCATTCTACTACATTTTTAGGTTTTCTTTTCCGTGTTGTTTTGTCCGCCTGAGTTCTGCTCTGGCCGAGGGTAGTTCATCCGGTTGAGTTTTATCTAGTGGAGGGATTGACCCGTTCCAATTGTGAGCGTGTTTGGGCTTTTGATCGTGAGTCTAGCTGCTTCTTTTCTTTGTCTTGAATCCGACAATCGTATGTTGGCCATTAATGGAGAGCTTAAATCAGGCTTATGATAGGAGATCATTCGAGGAGATTGATGGCGAGGGAATAGAAAACGACAAGACGTCAAAGCTCTCGGAACAACACTGCCTAAAATACTGACATCTCTCATACACGAAATGATTCCTTTGGAGGTGGATGGTCAAACTTCTTCTCCCTTTCCGTTGGCTGGTAAAATCGGGATGCTTTCTGTGGAGGTAGATGAACAAACCTCTTTTCCCTTCTTGGTGGCTGGTGAAATCAGGATGCTTGAATTATGTTATTGCTTTTATGCATGACTACAATTCTGAGTCTCATCCTAGTGTAGTCTTTGATATGATGATTTTGTATCTCGTTCTTGTTTTTTATATGAATTAACAATTAAGTTACCATTTGCCAAAAAAAAAATATTGAAGCGCAAGATAAGGAATGTGAATCATATTCTAAGAGAGAGTGAGTATTTATCATTTCTATTTTCTTGATACATGATTAATGACTGACTAAACAAGTTGTATGGTTGAACATTCTTACTTGTGAACTTCCATGCCGTTTATCTGCCTTGTTATGTTATATATTATCCACACTCCCTCTTTGGGTACCAATGCAGGTTGTGAAATTTCCAATCCATGTTTTCTCACAAGTTTAATGTATCTAAAATTATAGAAAACTGAAAGTAAGGTGAACATCAAGAACGAATTAGAAGTATCATTAGTTATATATATGACTCATGGGTAGTTTACTTACTCTTCAGCGTCAAAATGCTCCACTCCTAAATCTTCATCCCATATAAATATATATTCATATGGTGCAACAATGTTTGGATGTAGAAATCTTTTTGCATACCACCTTAGACGGAAAAAGAACATAGAGATTATAATGAATCATAGGCTCACGTACCGCTAATACTACCTAATTATATCCTATTAAGATTGAGACATAAAGTGAAATGAAATAATGTGTTGATTATTTCATTAGAATCATACAAATATTATCAAATATAATTGAGACAAATTTGGTAACAAGACGCAGAAAGTAAGATGACAAGTAAGAAACTGTTATCTTACTTGTTGAACCTCTTATATATATATATATATATATATATATATATATATATATATATATATATATATATATATATATATATATATATATAACCAGTTTTGTTATGTAACTTTACGTCACATGATCTGAAATTTATAAGAAACTGTTATCTTACTTGTTGAACCTCTTAAATATGCTAAGATTATGGGGATTTATGGGTGGAAGTGATAAATATGCTAAGTTATGAAATAGTTATATATAAAAACGATTTTATGGCTATGTTTGGCATGCATAAGTCCCTGACTTCTAGCTTTTATATTATTTAAAAAGTCTTTAAAAGCTTCTAGTTGTATGTTTGACATGCCAATTTTTAAGAGCTTTTATAAAAATAAAAGATCTTTTTTGAGATGTTACAGTGAGTAGCATCTCAGATAAGTGAGTGGCTTCTAGTATTAATTAGTCTTAACAGCTTGTATACGGTATACCAAACAGATCTAAATCAAACAGTTAGATTTTTACCAAACATGTACTGCCTTTTCTTTTTAAGATCTTTTCAGTCACTAAAATCTAACAGTTGGTAAAAAGCTTATAAAAGTATCTTTTTAGGTAGTTGTGCCAAACATACCCACGTTGTTTTGGGCGAATTAAGAAAAGAAATTGAACTCTATTTGGTTGAGTTATTTGGGCAATTAATTAGGTACCATTTAGTCTGTTGATAAACGGTAACATGGATGGCCTTCTTGGACCACTCGAATTCATCCCACTCAGACGTTCGACCATCATAGTGAAATAGAAGAATTGTAAAGTTATCTGAAAACTGAGACAACAGCTATTAGCTACAATAATTAGCTAGTCACGAACATTAATTAACTAACTAACTTTATGTTTGGGCCGGGCCGGGCCGGACCGGGAGGTAAAATGAGGGATTTGGCACGAAATCATATATCCATTCATGCAAAAAATAAAATGTAAACCTCACTTTTTTCACTGCAGCATCAATGATCTTCTTCTGGTTGTAGCTGACCGTAAATGCTACCAAATACTTGGGTTTAGTAATTAGATCCTGCAAATTATAAATAAAATATTTTATCCAGATGTCATTTTGGCCTGGTACATTTAACTTGCAACACCAAAGTAACACAAAAATCAGCTGATTCGGCTGATTCTGCTGAAATATTTGAAGTTTTGGCTGAAGTTGTTGCACTGGCTGATTCTGCTGATTTAAGAAAAAATTATTTTTAAAAATATCTAAAATAGTCATCTACAGTAACTTCAGTCAATACAGCCAGAAAAGTAACTGCAATCTTACTTTTTCTTATTATTATTACATAATTCAGCGCGCAGAAACAAAAGTTACATATTTGATGAAAAAGTTGGTTGATAAGCCTAATAAGCTGAAAAACAGTGTTGTCAAATGACCTCCCAATCCAAGATGAGCTGGCTTATTTAATTAGAGAACTGAACTTGCCTGCAACGGATTTCCCCATAACCGTCGGAGATAAAAATCTGAGTCCGACACAACAATGCCGGGAGCTAATCTCTCCGCTCCTTTTGGATTTGTTGCCACCCAAATCTAATCCAAACAAATATTCAATAAGTCATCACTTGTTTTCCAAATCTTTTACAATATTTTTTTATAAATAGCAAGCATCTTCCAACTTATTATATGTGGAAAAGGAACTTCATTTACAATGCATTATGTATTACGCAATACTCTCTCCTTCTCACTAAGGACATATTTGGCAATCGGCAGTTAGCGGTTAGCGAATAATATTATCAGATTAAAAATAGCGGATTGAGTCAGCGGATTTGATCGGTGGATTAATTTGGTGGGTTGCAAAAACATGTTTATTAACTTAACTGTTTGTTTATAGCGGTTAGTAGGTAAAAAGACATATGAAAACATGCATTAATAAATTTTAGTATCCATTTTTTTAATAATGCTATTAATGTATTATGACTTAATTGATAAGAAGTTCAACTTACAGATTAAAATATGACTCAATAAAATCACAATAATACAAAAATATATCAGTCTAATTCATGAATAGCACATTTGAGTCCCTGAAAAATTAGTAATCTTATTAACCATCTCTCTGTCATCAATTTCTATTGAATCCTTATCATTTCTTTTATTTTTATTCTTAGCCGACTTTCATGAATTACTAGAACTCAAACAACAATTAGCATATGCGACGTATGTTAGTCGTAGCTTGGGCTACAAAAATCCAATCAAATGCAAATAAAATCATATACAATTTCTTCATTAGACAACAAAAATCTAGAGCAACAGGGTGAGTTTTAGAACATCAAAGATCGAGGTTCTAACTTCCGGCGACCCAAAGAAGTAGTAAGAGGGTAGCAGACCTTCAACAGATGCAGCGGGATACAGAATAGAAAATGAGAGGACAGATTTGGAAATCCAATAATTAATTGAAAACACCAAAGTGTAAACACTCCTAGTTGAAGCGTGTTTGATTTTGACGGATTCATCCAAACTCTGAGCGAAACCTCTCTTTACCAAACGTAAAAAGAACAACGTTTTTAGACTTTCAAACAACTAAATTGGTCAAACCCTCCAATTTTTGGCGGAACACCAATTACCAAACACAACCTAAGATTTTTCCATCTTTCCTTTTCAGTCCATCTCATTAAGATTGTCTCATACCAAATTTATTATCAATTCAATATCAACCACATAAACTCATTTTTATTGGAATGTGTGTCACTCCCTCTTATACCGTTGTTAGTACACACTTTCTCGATAAATCCATTTTTATTGGAATGTGTGTCACTCCCTCTTGTACCGTTGTTAGTACTAGAAGGAGGGAGTATTATTTTGGCAAACATAATTAGTACACACTTTCTCGATCTCTAGCTTACTGACTGTACAACTTATCTTTCTCCAAAACCCATCAATAAGAATGATGATATTTATTACTGCCGAGGTACTCAGTAATTGTATTAGCTAATAATAATGGCAATAATAAATATAAAAGTACTACGGATTATTAGTAATACAGTAAGTTAGTAACTAATAAAGCCATAATAATATATATGTATATATGCTCCCTCCCATCTTTTAAATTTTTGATTGGTTCCATACAAATACTCCGTACGTATTTTAATTTGCTTTTATTTTGGAAAATACCTACATCTGAAATTTTATGCTCGTACTGCATTTTATTTATGTACGAATATTGTTTTTTTACTGCATGTCACTTTGGTAAAATGAGAGGACAGGTTTGGAAATTTTATGCTCGTACTGCATGTCACTACTGTTCGAATATTGTTTTTTTTTGGCAAAGACTGTCCGAGTAACTTATGTTCTGTAATAAAGAAAAGAAGTCCAGCATGATTAAAATTATACTCCCTCCATCCATAAAATTCTTCTCACTTCCCTTTTTGGGTCGTCCCAAAAAAATCTTCCAACTTACCATTTTTGGACAATTTGTGTGGTTCGCATTCATTTTACTTTTTTCTTACACAACTAAGAGTTTACAAGGGAGTGTCACAAGGGTTAGATCCCGGGTTCGAATCCCGTCAACTGCGATGAGAAGTTACTATGCTAAAAATGCATAGGTCCTCTGCAAGTACCGGGTACAGAGAGAGTTCACTCTCTATCTGTCAGATTGGATTATAGTCCAATTTACATCCTCCCAACGTACCGTCTGGTCGGGCTTGGGGGGCCTCAGGGATGGGGTGTCATCCTTTTTTTACTACAACCACACATTTACAATTTATTCCACTTTCTTAATATCCTTGTCAAATTAAAGTGAGAAGAATTTTCGGAGACCGATGAAGTAATACGTACGCGTGTATAGTCATGGAGTATATAATAAAGAAACACATGCATCATCCCTATGGCTATGGGTAACAAATTAAATCAAGGGTGTACCGTACCGTTGTAGAATTGGTAAGGTCTTGGTTTTGTGTGGTGCTTGCGCCTTGGTCTGGCAAACATTTGTTATCAGCAGCACCCATTGAATCCTTTTTCTGAAAAAAAAAAATACAGACTACCCAATCATTCATTATTTACATGTAAATTCTAACTCAGTGTACGGAGCATTCGGACCAATGGGTCAATCCCAACCCCAATAGGTCAATGCCACAGATTCGGTCAACATTTATATAATAAGAAAACGTGAAATTATGTATAAATTAAATTAAAAAGTAATTATATTATTCATGATAATCAACTAATGATAATACTAGAATTGGTATGCATTTAAAACACTTGTATATAATACTTCAAAAAATAATCCTATATATTAGATTAAATGGTGAGCAACATGCACCGTTTGTTATTTTTTATTTTTTCTTTTCTTAAAATTGTTAATAATTTTTTTATTTTTGATCCGATTTTTATAAAATTTATATCAAAATTTTTTATTTTTCATGATCTTTCAAATGAGACCAATATTGCCTATGTAATTTTAATTTTTTATATTCATACATTTTTTGTAATATATTTTTATATGCATACACTTTTTCTATAATATATTTTTTTATCACTTTTATATATTTTTAGAGGTTTTAAAGATATTGAGTTTGTTTATTTTGCTTCTAGCTTGGAGTTACATTTGATAATATACGAAGTTACATCATCTTATACTCCAGTTACAAGTTATTATGTGTGAGTTACATCTTGTTATACACGAGTTACATACTTTTATGCGCGAGTTACATGTAATTATGTGTGAGTTACATCTTGTTATGTGTGAGTTACATCTTGTTATACACGAGTTACATACTTTTATGCGTGAGTTACATGTAATTATGTGTGAGTTATATCTAATTATTTGTGATTTTTTACTTATCTTTATCTTAAACTAATTCAATTATAACTGAATTAATTTTTTTATTTGCCCATTTAATACAAAATTTTATTAATCCACATAAAATAAGTATATTGTATTTCATATTCATACACTATTTTTCAAATGATAAAAATGAAAGATGTAGGAGGGGTTTATTTCGTGGTGTAACTCACATACATTAAGATGTAACTCGCGTATATTAAGATGTAACTCGCGTACAATAAGATGTAACTCGCGCAGAAGAAGATGTAACTTCATGATATATTATCAAATGTAACTTCAAAATAATTTGTTAAAATTACATAAGCAATATTGGTCTCATTTGATAGATCATGAAAAATAAAAAAATTTGATATAAAATTTATAAAAATCGGATATCAAATAAAAAAGTTATTACAATTTTTAACAATGAAAGAAATAAAAAATAATGAAATCAACCTGAAGCTGCGTCGTTTTGCAACCGGACGCACCATCCTCATGGTGCGCCGGTTGCAGGGTATAAATTGCGTGTTACGGAGTATTTGTTATTGGTATCGTACATTATGGAGTATAATATAATTTGACATAATTTTATTCCTTAAATAAATATATAAATATACGGATTCTTACCCATTAAGGGCATTGAAGTTGCAATTTTATTAGTTTCAAAAATCTTAAAACCAAAAAAATAAAAAACCCTCTGAAATCAGGGTTTTCGGGTTTTCAAATACCCACATTAAATTTTTATTTGGGATGCAGACTAGATCCAGACTAAGTAGAGTTTTATTCATGAATGACCACAAAAAGATGTTTACTCTAATAGGCCCCCAAGGGTACACTAAATCCATGTTTGGTCTCATATAATTCAATTACTATTCATAATTGATTCGAATAAGAAGAATGAATCTGATACAAAGAGCATCTCGAATGCAAGTGTAACATCCTGGTCCCGCTAGACCCGAAATAGTTACTCTACATACCTCTACAGATTCCCCAAACCTCTAGTACTGTGCGTCTTTGAGAAACTTCTCAGGAGGGACAGGAGGTCACTCATCCCAAGGCTACTCATGTGCAAACACGCTTAACTTAGAGTTTTTAAGAGATGAGTTCCCTTAAAAGGAGATGCATCTTGTTGGTGTGAGTAGTATTATTAGTTCTTTTAACTCACTTTTCATCACCTTTTCCTTCTCAAATCCCGTGTAAAATGGACCTTGTCATAGACCTTGATTTACTTTTTATCTCTATCTCTCTCCTCCTTTTCATTTTTCCCTACACACCACTCCATCTATATTAAAATAAAATATATTTCCTCCGTCCCACTCAATTTTGCCAAGTTGAAGTTATGTGGGAAATTAGAATAGTAAAATTTGTGTGGTTTAGGTTTGTGCAGAGGAGAAAGAAATGAACAGAGCCACAAAAATATTGCTTTAAAAGGAAAGTGGCAAAGTTTTTGGAACAAACAAAAAAGAAAAGTTGACAAAGTTTAGTGGAATGGAGGGAGGAGTACATTCTATCTCATCTCTCTCTTGTGTCACATCATTGTCGTGCACCTCCAATGGGAGATGCCCTAATAATCACATACACATACATAAGAGCGAGAGATTGAATTAACATGAGATTGCACTAATGGATACTATGATCCAGTATGATAATATTGAAACTAGTTGAATCTGCAGAAAATAGTGAAACGTGAAACTGGTTGAATCTACTAAATTATGAGAAAATTGTATTTAAAATATATTTTATTAATACAAAAAAATTAAATGAGAAGTGACTAAAATCAATCAACTCAACCCCAACTTCAATTATTTTGATTTTACGATTAAACGCTTAAAATCAAAATTTAAGTAATTGGAAAAAATGAATGATAAAGTCAATAAACCAAAAATAGTGTGTATGAATTGGAGTGTGTGTGTGTTTACCATATTTGATGTTAATAAAGCTTGGCGTGAAACTCCAAGAAAGAATCCTAAAGCAGCTCCAGTAATAATTCCAACAACAAGCTGCTCCATTCCAGTTGTTCTTTTGCCATTTTCCCTACACATGCATATACAACGTACACATCTAGCTAAGTACCACGGCTTCAATTCACAATGTATATATGTGTGTGTGTGTGTGTGTGTATATATATATATATATATATATATATATATATATATATATATATCAGGAATAAAATTCAATTTGAATAATAAAATGAGATGCAATGTTAAATTACTCCTTAATTTAATTAGAGTAGAAGTAAACATTGTGAATCACATTTTACTTCTCTTAAATCAATTCAAGAAATCGTTGATGGAGAGATCAGTTGTAGCTAGCAATTTGATGGAATTGGGAGATGAGAGAGGGTAGGGAGTATTTACCTGAAGATCCTCATCACGATCGACTTTGGAAATTAAAGGAATATGGTTGATCGAAGCAGGTAGTAAACCCAGCCAGCCACCCGGCCTTCAAGCTGCAATTGGTGGAAGAATCGAAGCTTGCCAGATTTGAAGCTGAAGTTATGGTCAAGGCCGGCCGAGTTTTGTGCGGGCGGCCAAAAGTGTCGCATTAATTACGGGCACCTCAGATCTTGTCCTAATAAAGTGCCCATTTGATGTGACCTCTATATTAATTTCTTTGAAAAATTAATTTCGATATTTTTCTTCTATATTAGTTTCTTGAAAAATGCGTACATGATTGACACAAAGTATACATGGTATAAACTCCCCAAAAAATGCTCCCCATTTCTCGGTAAATTATATGGTACAATCGGTTGTACGATTATCGTAGTACAACCGCCATTTTGATAATTTTATTCAACTTTTAGGTTATTACTTACGAAGTATTAGTTAGGTTAGTGATGATGTTCCATGCTCAATTTTTTGGCCGTACGCATGCACTCTTCGGTCTCTTGCGGCCTCCTGCCGTCTCCGGCCTGCAATCTTTTTTAACTTTTTGCTTTCGTTTCTTTTTTTATTCTTTCTTCTTTATTGTTTGCTCTCCTTTTTTATGGTTTGTTCTCGTTTCTTTTGTTTTTGTTTTTTTCTTTAACAGCTTTTCATTTTAATTTTATACTCAATTATTATGAACATTTATAATATTAAAAATTAAACAAAATATCATTAAATGTGCCAGTTTATTGTTTTTCTTTATCCAATAAAACTTCTAACTTAAATACTTTTAATATATGTAATATAAAATATTTTTAGATATTAGTTTTTTTCTATTTTTAATTTAATATGAACATTTATTAGTTTATTAGATATTGTGTGTTAATTACTAACATGAGTTTTGTGTTATACTAAAATTTGTAGTGTAAAATAAATATGGATGAGTAAACATTATAAAAGAACCCGGTTATATTTGTAATTCGAGAACAAAAGATTACAAATTATTTTTAATATAAAATTACTGTATTTTTCATTACTATATTTGTCATTATATGTGCACAAATGAACATTTGAACACATTAGAGAATTCAACCGAATTTTTGAAAAATTCGATACTCATTATGTAAGTTATGTATGTTCATCTGGTATTGGTTTTATACTCATTTTAAAATCTCATATCAATGCATATTTCGAATTCAAAAGTAACATATTAGATTCACGTAAGAGTTAGATTATATACATGGACGTAGAGATCATGATACTCAATTGCATGCTTCGGATACTTAGTAAAGGATTAAGGATGTTTGATGTTCAATGAAAATGTCTTAATGCTCAACTAACAAAGCTTATTATTTTCATATCATACTTATTTTGTTAGTGACGTATACTCAATTGGTACTCATGTTATGCTCATTTTTTAAATGTCATATCAATGCATATTTCAAAAGTATCATACGAGTATTACATTAGATTCGCATACTGAAGTTCATTGTTAGGCTTCTAATGCTCATTGCGTATCCTCATTTGATACCGATATTATGTTCATTTTTAAAATGACATATCAATGCATATTTCAAAAGTACCATACTACATTAAATTCGCATATTGCAGTTTATAGAAGTTGATTATAGATATAATTTAATGATAGGTTTTTATAAAAGATAAAATAAGAAAAAGAAAGTGAATTGCAATATATGAAATTAATATCACAATACTCATTATTCGACTCTTAATTCTCGGTAGAACAAATGTGATGCTCATTACAATTGTATTAATGTTCATCTAATAAAAACCGCGATTTTTCATTGAAATTACAAAAATGCCACCGTTTTTAAGGGGTAATTTGAGTTTGCACCCCATATTATTGTATAAATTGGACTTTGCACCCCATTTTTAAAAAACTTTGTTTTTGCACCCCAAACCCATATGAAAAGACCAAAATGCCCCCAATCAGGAATATGTTGAAGGCTAGGGGTGGGCACGGTCCGGGACGGTCCGGGTTTTGGCTTATCCCGATCCCGTCCCGACTTTATAATAACGGTTCGGTACGGTTCGGGATAAGCCTTTATCCTAATGTCGTCCCGTTTAAATCGGGACCGGGACAACCCGAGAAAACCCGGAACGGTCCGGGACATCCCATAAAATCTGAATTTTTGAATTTAATAAAAAAGGGCATAACATAAAAATAAAGGCACAACCATTACTGCACATCTAGCTTCCTTAAAAGGATGCAAAAACTATTTTTAGATGTCTACATTTTCAGAATGTTTTAGCATATGATATTACAATACCACAATCATTGCATTTCCGGTCTTTAAGTAATAAGTTAGCAAAAGAAGAATCAAAAGCAAAAACACATGTTTACACATTGCAGCATTCTCAGAAGCAATTTAACAAATGTTTAGGCTTCTGAAATACAAGCCAGATTGCAGGCATATGCAATGTTTGATCAAAAGAAACACAATCCCCATGATCTTCTCCCTCTCCATCTTCTGACTCATTTTCCAGATTTTCACCAAGTTCAGGTACAATATCATCTTCATGGGTAGTATGTACTGCTCTTTTTCCTTTATTGCTTTTATCAAATACACAAGTGTTGCCTGAGCTTGTGTTCCTCATCTCTACAAAATTATTAACAAGTTTAAGACACAAGAAAAAATTAAAGACAACATTGAAAACAAAAACAATCGATCAAATTAACTCAATAAGTAAATATAGAAATATTAGAACTTTACCTTCTTCAATGTCTTCATAAAACTGCAGCTCCTCAACACAAGGCTCATCTTCAAAGTCAATGATAATATTATCACCTCTCAACCAATTCTGCGTGCATATCAAGGCTTCGACCGACCTGGGACTTAATGAGCTCCTAAAGGCATCTATAACTCTCCCACTTGTGCTAAATGCACTTTCTGAAGCCACCGTAGACACCTGGACAGAACATAAATCCTTTGCAATGAGAGCTAACACAGGATATTGATTTGCATTGGTTTTCCACCACCTTAATAGATCAAAAGACCTATATTTTTCGGCCAATTCTTGTGCTGAAAAATCAGTTGATCCATGTATTGCACTTGACCCCTCACCACCATTTTTTCCCCAATAGCCATCACTTTATCTGTTAAATATCGATCGTTCTCATGCTCCAACACATCCTCTTCACTCTCAGTTACCCGCTTACTCCACCTCATCTCATATTTATTTGCAACTGTGGATGAACTGCTCTTCTCAGTACTACTTTCCTCATTCATTTTTTGTGGTTTGACTTGCAAGTTATTAGAACCACTATTAGTAGCTTTTCTCTTCTTCACGTTGTTTTCTTCATATTCCTCATACAAAAGAAACAATAATTGTTTGATTTCACTAACTCTTTTTTCCACCTCAAGGGGACCCCATAGCAAATCTTCATCTAAAATCTCCTTCACATGTTTAGTTTAAACCGTGGATCTAAAACCAGACCAATAATAATTAGAGGATTCAAATCACTGAGCTTCCCAAAATACTTGGAGTATTTGGCTTTCATGAGTGAAGTAACCTCAATCATTAACTGCTTGTTTTGATCCACTGAACTGAGTATTCGTCGTTTCTTCCATTTGAACAATATCATGAAACGTGGTATGGATTGTAGGACGTAGGGAAGCACTTGTTAGTATATATGTCCTAGCGACAATCATTTTTTTAAAGACATATGTACTTGATCACATTTAGTTTTTATATTTGATATATACATGGTATTACACTTTATGAATGATTGTTTTCGATTGTCAATGTTTTATTCATAATTGTGTTCCCTTGGATTTATGTTGTCAATAAGTATGTGGGAGCTTATATGGTATAACATAAGGTCCTAAAGTAGCCCCAATCAATGATCATCAAGAATGGGATATTGATGATATGCGATAAGATTGGTATGTGGACTGCATCATACTTTTAGAAAGTATAGTTGATCTCACGACTATGAATTCCTGTAATTCATGATGGTCACATAGATATTTTAGAGAATATTGGCATACCCACCGAGAAACCATTTGATAAGTTCTATTCATGTGTCTATGGGTTTATCGGCGTATAGAGTAGTGTAATAGTCCTCCGACTTGAGGTCAATACGTACTACATGTGCGGAGTGATGTACTTTGACCATGACCAACGCTTGCACTCCAATCGGGGTAGATACGGCATGTGTTGGGTGCATCACGAAGCACATGGAGTAGTAGTTGAGCCAAGAAAGGATTCATTCCTCATAATAGATTAAGAGAGAACATTCTACTTCTCATATCTAGATGGATCATAAAGTCATTGGCCAATGCAAAGATATATTCGTTTTGGATATCGAATATGATCGTTATGGATCATCTAGAAAGATTGAGAGACAGAGACTGAGTTATTGGGATAGACACTATATCATGTTCTAGACTTAGTTGAATGTTCGCTGAATGAAAGGACCGTATCACTATGAGCTCTATATTACAGGGAGTTTGTATAGTCCTCGCAAACGTCCTTATATATTAGGTTTGTCTGGAGAATTGTCTAGGGATTCGCTAAGACCTTAATTTGATTAGTGCTTAATATATAAGGCCCTATGGGTCACACAACAAGTGATTATACTTTCCGATTGAATTGTTAGAAGGAATTAAATATTATTAATTGGATTAAATAATATTTAATTCGTAATACTGAAAATGAATTAAATATTAATTAGATTAAACATATTTAATTCATGAAGCTGAAGGAGAGTTCTATTTGATAGAATTAATTAAGTAAGATAAATTAGATTTATCATACTTAAATAAGATGTATTTATTATTAAATAAAGTAGATATTTTCTTTTGTAATTTGGAATTAAAAGAAAAGTAAATAAAATAAATATTAATATATAATAATTAGAAAGTGGCGTGCAGCCACATTTCAATTATTATTATTTTGTTTTGTTTTATCTACTTATTTAATTAATTAGGAGTATTGGTCCTAGTAGGATTAGAACTCATTAATTAGAAAGACTTTCATTGTGATTGGAAAACTAGTTTCGAACTAGTATAAATACATCCTTCTCCTTCATAATTTATAGACCAGTTTTCAGATTCAGTATTAACAGCTTATTTCCTTGCGAAGAGATTTCCTAGCCTTTCTCTTAGGGAGATCTAACCGTTCTTTCGGGAAGGAGAAATCACGTGGATACCAAAGGTCAAGGATTATCACCGCTAGGCTGGAAGATCTGTAAGTTCTAACTCAGATCTGTTATTATTATCATATTCGTTATTTTGTCATAATCAGGGAAGATCTGTTTGGGAAAATTTTAAACTTCCGCTGCCGTACTTTCGAGGTACGTTACATCAATTTCCTAACAGTG